TGGTTAAAAAAGGAAAAAAAATGACTGTGCGCAGTGGTGGCCCATGCCTTTATCCCCAGCACTCAGGAGCAGCAAATCACTGTGATTTCAAAGCAAACCTGGTATACAGTGAATTCCAGGACAACCAAAAGCTGCACAGAGAAACACTGTCTCAAATGAATGAATGAATGAATGAATGAACAAATGAATGAATGAACAAATAAATAAATAAATAAATAAATAAATAAATAAATAGAGTGATAAAAAAGCCAGGTAAAGATGGAAGGTATACAGAGAGTCTGAACTCTATATGCTATTGTGTTGTCTTTGAATCGCTCAATTGCTAAGGAACAACAACTGCTAAAACACACTTGATTATCAATGCTGCTAAATTAATCCAATTTATATTTTTTAAAAAATGCTTTGACTTCAAAATTTAAGTCTAAGGACAGGTTACTGGGGAAAATAATTTCCATTTTTGTTCCCACAGAAAATGAAAAGCTGTGCATTCCTTGCAGACTAATACGGTTTGATCAAGCAAGACTCTCTGAATAGCTCACCGGTGATCCAACATTCAAACAGCTGGGACAGGGCAGCCTTGCAGACCACTACAGCCAGGATTTCTGCATCGTCTTAGGATCCCCAAGAGAGTGCCCCATACCAGCAGGAAGCAAGGAAGCAGTTTGGAAAGCAACAGGAAGCAGTTTGGAAAGAACGACTCCCAAATTCCAAAATATTGTCTATTAATGTTTCCTTTCATTTAAATGGGGTTGTTTATAAATGGTTAATGATCACAACCAATCTCTTTTTAAAGGTAAAAAGGGGATTATGGCATAGAAATGAATACTTTGTTTTGGAATGGAATTTCATTTATGGATACAATTTAAGGTCAATTTTGTGATATGGATAGTTCTCCTCTTGTTTAGGTATTGTGTTTATGTAGCTCATTTGAAAATATAGTGTATAATTTAGTACAGATTATAGATAGTTACCTATAATAGTCAAAACTTGTGTTAGTTAAGTTTTCTAGATATACAGAGATATATTTGCGACGGATAAATATTATTCAAACCTTTCAAAGACCTACAGAATATGGCATTTAAAATGGTTTAGGGTTTGTCTTGACAGTGAGACATAACTGCTCCTGGCAACACCACCTGTGTCACAAAGGAAGATGGACATCAGAGAAACTTGTTATGGAGTTTGCTTCCAATATGGCAAGACTAGCCATTTGGGCAAGATACTGCTCTTGTCTGGACTGTTTGACTTTATGCTATATAACCCACAGAAAAATGACTGGTGATACAAGACAGACATTGCTACAGAGTTCCTTCTTTATGGAAGAGTCTGCCAGACAGCCTGCAGGACACAGAGAAAAGTGACTGACAAATTGCCAATACAGGTGGACAGTTTTAAGTTTCCTGCTTTACTTAGGAATCTACCAGACACACTATGGCCTATAGGCTGAAGATGGAACATTAAAGAAGAACTTCAGGTGACTAACCAGGCAGTGAGTTTTCTCTGTCATTTCTAGAGTTTATATATTACCCTTATGTGGTCTTTGAGGGAGTTGAAGACAGATAATTATGGTTATAGATTTCTTTAGTTAGGATTAAAGATAAGTTACACATTAGACTTTAGACTCAGAAAGATAGAATAGATGATGAAATATTTTCTTTAAATCTTGCTAAATGCTAATGAACTAAATATTTTTAACTACAGTTCTTATTTGATTGATAACTTTTGTTATATATTGTACTATGTTAAAGTTAAAACCCTTTATATTTTAGACAGAAAAGATGAGAGGATGGGAGATGTCATTCTGTATATATGTTTCTCTTATTGGTTAATGAATAAAGCCCTGTTGGTCAATAAGAAAGCAAGATAGGCAGGACTAGGAGACAAGGAGGACTCTGGGAGTGGTAGCAGAGAGAAGTCAAGGTGTAGGACTCGAGAGAAGAGGTCTGGACACTCCAGGTAAGGTAAGGCCATGTGGAACCACTTAGATTGATAGAAATGAGTTAATATTTAAGACAGAGCTTGCCAATACAAAGTTCTAGCCATTGACCAACAGCTTTATAACTAATATATTCTCTGTGTGTTACTTTGGGACTGGCATGGCTCTGGGACCAGGCTAGCAGGAAAGCTAATCATAACAGCTGCCCTTAAATCCAGCTCCACTTGCCCTGGAATTACAAGCATCTGTAAACATCTGCCACCACACTTAGGTCATGGAAACTTTTTGACAGAGAACCCTCCAGTCTAAAGTCATCACTCAATAAGTAAATATGAACATTTGTCCTTTTATATCTTTTTATTTTTTAACCCTGTGAAGCTGATGCTTTTTCCAGGTTAAAATAAATACTACATGAATATTCTGCCTTTATTCTGGCTTTATTTATGAGGATTAAATCTAGGGATTTGTGCTTGCCAGGCAAGCACTCTACCAGCTGAACTACATTTCCAGCCCTAGGGCTTTTAACTTTTGAAGTTGATTTTATCCTGCTGAGGGCATTAGTCCCCTAAACATTTTCATCTATCTATCTATCTATCTATCTATCTATCTATCTATCTATCTATCTATCTATCTACCTATCTATCTATCTAATCATATCATCAACTATATATATGTATATATACATATATCAGAGTTCTCAACAACAATACTCTACTTCTCTAATAAAAGAGGAAACACTTTCAAATGCTCAACACTAATGTATCACTAGGCTTACTTAATATGAAAAACAACACATTTATTAAGCTTATTCTACTTTCTGGGGAGAAAGCTCAAGATAGTCCTTTACTGTCTACTCCCAAACTCTTTGATCCTTAAATTCATACTTAGAAGGGGTTCAACTTTGACAACTGCTATTTAAATGTTTTAAAAGCATCCACTTTGCTACAGTGCATTTTGGACAATGCCTTTCAGCTTAGAATTTATGTCTTTAACAAAATAACCCATGGACAGTTGTGGAAATTGAACAAACATTACTATTGTTATTGCTCATTAGAGTGTATCTATCATGTACAATAAATGCAATGGATGGATGCTCATATACATATTTCAGAAATAAGATTTCAATTTGAACAAGAAAATTTTCTCAAAAATAAAGTGTCAGTATTAGATCAATGCATCTCTCAACCCTTATCAGAGAAGCTTCTATTTGTAGTAGATGGTGATTAACACAGAGACAGACAACTGGGCAAAGTACAGAGAATGAGAAACTATGGAATTCCCAGGCATAAAAGGGACATCTCTTCCATGTCATCTCTTACCAAGACTCAGGGATTATTGCAGGAGAGGGGGCTCAAAGAGTGCAAGAACCAGAGATAGTGATGACAACCAGGAAACAGTGTCTACTATGAACTAACAGGGATACCATGCACAAGACCTGTGCAAGCTTGAGCCAGACCATATTTCAAAATGGAGAGATGAGGTAGGCATGGAGTCTCAGATCTAGCTGAAGGACTATTAACTGAAATTGGGAGAGTCAGTTTTCCTTAAGAGTGTAGCCCTTGATAAGCAAAACACCCTCCAGTGGACAGTCATACCTTCAAGAATATATGGACAGCACTATTTGGAATATATATATTGGGTAGAGAAGGGGTGAATTTGAAAAAAGTTAGGGAAGGGGGTAAATATGATCAAAAATATCTTATAAAAGTCTCAAAGAATTAATAATATTTAAAAATAAAATACTAGAAATATTTTTTGACATGACAGGTTTAATAATTTTGTAAATTTGGTGATATTTTTCTCTCTTAAAATGGATGATGTACTATTTTTAACTTTGGCACAGATTTTAGAATTATAATGCTAGCCCTTTTTAATTAAATGAAGAAAAACAGCAATATATTTCTATCCCCAAAATTAAGAGCCATTTTTTATCCATTTATCTTCTTTATAGAGAAACTAGGAAGACAGAGGAAATGTTTATCAAGCACTTCATGAAAATGAATTGCTCCTTAAAGTCTTAGTATCACAGATGTCACTGTCATACATTAGCCCTTTGATTTGTCACAGGTTTGCTCTTGAGAAACTCCTCTTATGACCAGTGATCATGGCAGCCTCCCTGTTGGGCTTTTCTGTCTCATACTATTGGTGATTAGAGCAAATGCTTCCCAATGATTTAGTTAATTCATAGAAAATGGAATCAATTTCCCTTGTTTCATTGTGATTGAAATTTTTCCTGAGCTGCTGTAAATGAACAACAGATCAGCACCATTTATCAGATTACAGGGTAGAGCTTACAGTTTTGATGATTCTGCTTTCTTGTTACTATTAATGAAATTTATAATATGTCTCAAGAAAACACAAATGCAGAAGTTGGCCCCTGAGTTCTCAAGCTGCAATGAATATTTTCTGAGTATATTCTATACTTTTTTCCTAAGATCCAAGACAATGATGACAAAGCTCTTCATTGTCTGAGAAGTCTTGTAGCCCCAAGACCTGATCTAAATTGTTGCCAGTCCTGGATCTCCCCTTGAAGCCAAAAAGTCTTATGGTATCAGCATATCAGTGGGATTATTTAGGTACCACACTAGGGTGCTTCAGCACCCTCAATGTGACAGACCCAACTACACCTCACCTCTCTAGTATCATGGGATTTGGGGGTATTTAGTTTAAGAAGCCATTGGGAAGTATCATTTGACCCCATTATTCTGTCAGGCCAAGCAACAGATATGCCCACTGGGCACAATATATATAAGCTGAAATCAGCACACAGAAGCAAAGGCAGGTGAACTGAAGATTTTTTTTTTTTTGGCAGTCAAGTTTTCCAGAATCAGTTTTTTTCTGATCTATAGAGGGAGAACATTATGTGGAATGTTTTATAAAAATCAGCATCTCTTTTTCCTTTACAACTGGTTAATCACAATTACATGTGTGAGAGGAAATGGAAAGAAGGGGTGAACAGTGCCCTTTCCCAACTTTTGAAGCTGAAGGAACGAAACTGGACTTTTGGGAAGACAGATGGATGGAGACTGGAAAAGCAACCTGGACGCACCTTCCCATCACTTACCAAGATCCATGCTCTTGGAGGTTTTCAGGTTAATTGATTCAGGCTGCATGGCTGGTGTCACAGATCTGAAATTGACATGTTGATCTGGAAAATATGCTGTGGAATCCACCCCAGAGCTGTGGGAAGAAGTTAAATGGTATATTTAGGTTTACAGCAAGAGGCAGGGAGGGATAGGGGAAGATTATGAATATATAGTTCACACATTGAATACATTCCCTCATCATTTTTTCTTCAGCCTGCAGCCATGTATTTTAAACCAAATCTTGATTCTCAGACTTCTCTTATGGAATGTAATAATTGTGGCTGGACTAATAACATCTTTCATTCCTTAGTCCTTTATGGTAATTGGGACACTGCTGCATCCTATATAACTTCAGGTGGGTGAGGGGTGCCTGGGAAGCCACAATACTTCAAAGCATGCTGCTGGATACTAGAAGAGCCCAAAGTGGGCTAAGAGATTCCTATGGGATGAGTGGGCCTTTTAAAGAGCAGCAAAAGGGACATCTCCTTCAAGAAAAACATCCTGAATGACTGATGGCTGCAGGAGACTGAGTTTTACCTTTTTCAGTGATCTTCAAAGAGTAATGCTAATGCCCAGCAGATAGTCTGTCCATCAATAACACCAAAAGGAAGCCACAGGAACAGCAGAGTTGATAATTTAGACACAAATACGTTAAATGCCCTGTATGGATTTTTGGTCCTTGGGGTCAATCTAAAGAATTTTGCTTCTACTGAACACTCTATTTTGGTTGAGGAATGGGTAGAAGGGTTTATATAAAGAAATTTTAGAAGTGAGTATACACTTTCCATAAATTAAATTGCAACCACTTTCTCCTTTGTACTCAGGTTAGCTAAAATGTACACAAGCTACTTGTCTCAGGGTGATTTTTGTCAGATGAAAAATCAGGATTCTTTGATAAGCAGCAGAAGCAACATTAATCTTGAATGAAGTGCCCTCTAAAATGCAGAGAAGAATTTCAACTTTCAAACTAAATACACTAGGCAAATTTAATTTTTTCTTAAAAATTAATTTTTTTACCTTTGATATTTAATAGTCCCTATCAGTAATGTTAAACAGTAGCCTTGCTGAATGAATAAATGAGCCCCTGTTATTATAATCCAGTGGGTAGAAACAGAATGTGTCCTGACTCTCAAGAGTCAAGGCCATAGAATACAATGGACCAGTTTATATCCTGACTCTGCCAACTTGATAGCTGTGTGATTTGGGCAAGTCATTGCACCTCTCTGAACTTCAGTGTCCTTATATATAAAAGGAATATAATTATATTTTCCATCCTTAACTTCAGTTTCCTCATCTATAAAATGTGCAGTAATAGAACTTCTCTATAAGGCCTTTGTAAAGATTTAAATAAATTCAGATATGCAAAATACTGGGAATAGAACCTACCACCTAACTATATGTTAGTCATATTTTAGTATTAATAAGTGTCCAATTATCTTTCTTTTTTATTTCTATTGGTCAAGGTGCTTTTGGAATAAGGACTTGGGGTATCTCCAATGCAAAGATTATACCTGTTTTCATAGAAACTATGCAGAAAATTTGAATTGACTCTTAAGTGTTACAAAGATTCTGGATGTTTCTTTCTTGGTGTCTGGGTGCATTATCTATAGAGGAAGTCTTCAAGTACTATAAACATGCTACCTAGTGATGGCAGAGTATGCCAACTGTGCCACAGAGTCCTTAATTCATTTAGTGTTACTGATGCCTATATGGTCTAATGGGAATACCCCCATTTTTCCTACAGTTTTACAGAATTTAGAGATAGCACTGAGATCAAGAGCTCCCCTTAGGCTTTGGTGCTGTGGGATCATGTGCCGTTACATGTGTTACCCATCCTTTATGTGCACATAAGATTTTATGCTTTGATCTTGTATGGTGATGCAGGTTTAATGTCAGCAAGACACATGATCTTTACAAATTCAAAGGCTCAAGGCAGAAGGGATTAAAGGTCACCCAACCATTAGATAAGAGTCTAAAACCCAAAGAAGGGAACTGATGGTCCAAGGTCACACAGCTGCTCAAGGGCAAAGCCAGGATCTGAGTCACAAGCTTGGGTTAAAATACTGGCTTGAACATATAAACATTGTCTTTTTCTTTAAAATGAAGATCTGATCAGTCGCCTAAGTAACTTGTATTTTAGTTTAGCTTTTGTTTCATCTGAGTGGTAGATGTGATGAAATAAAAGAAAACCAAGTAGTTAATCGAAGCAGATGCTGTACATTTTAATGAGAGCCTTGAGGGAAGATGTTTAAGACAGACATGAATATTCCTCTTTAAAACAAAGATCTCACTGCATTTAAAGCACTCTGCGCATGGCAGACTATGGGAATCTACCCAAGTGATGAATGTATTGGTTAATCCAATTCAGCTTCTCAAATGATCTTTTCAAATTTGGCAATAATTGACATGCCAACAATAAGAGCTCAAATTCTGTAAACTTTTGGAAAATAATCATTCTTATATCCCCTGTTCTACAAATAGGGTGGAGGGTGATATTTAATACAGTATCAAGTTAGAATCTGCTCAAACAAAGCAAATATATTTCTATAAAAATATTAGGATATAATTGAGGAAAATAAGATAAATGAAAGCTGCACTGTACATATGAATGTTGTAAATCATTTACACATACATACATATGTCTGATTACATCCATTAATTTGATGTTATATACATCTGTTACCATTATTTTGAATGTGTCCAAATGCAGTTTGAAAATGTTCATTTAGCAGGATCGCTTTTGCCATGGTACAAAATGGAAATGCAAAATAAAGCTGAAATCAGATTGGCAGATATTTAAGGAGGGAAGTGAGGGTAATATAAGATGTGATGGGATTAGAGCCAATGCCAGCAGATACCACACTGAAAAATTGAGTGTAGTATTGAATTAGTTAATGTGAAAATATTTTAGTCATGTAAGTTAGACGGGTACAATCGTTTGCAATTTTATGCTACATATTGAAAGTATTTGGAGTGAGGTTGACACAATGATTAACTATAAAATATGACATATTTTAATTTTGAAGGAAGTTAGCATGTGCTCATGGCTGAGTGGGAAGTTGGACTTTGACAGCAGGCCAGAGACATGTCCTAGATAAAGGCTATGTTTTCAGCATGAACAACCAGGGGATCTCTCAAATAGAAATGATACTCTTGTCAAAATATTCTGCATAATGAATAAATAGGGGCAGCAAGAAACATATGCCGTTGTTCTGAAAATGGTGACAAACCAGGAATATGAAAGACACAGAGGAGTTAGGAGTAGGTGTTCAAGGAGAACTCTCTGAAAGTAAAAGACAGGGAGGTAGATTTGAAGGACCTGCTAAGAAAACTGTTGAAAGCATCAGGGATGTACTACTTATATGTGTGTGTGTGTGTGTCGCGGGGTGGGGGGAGATGTTTATGACTGAGAAAATATGAGTAATAAAGGAGTAACCAAATGTTTTCTAAATTGTTAAGAATATTGTATTAGTTATGGTTTCTGTTACTGTGATAAAACAGTATGACCCAAAACAACTTGGGAAAGAAAGTATCTATTTCATCTTACAGCATATAGTCCAACATCCAAGGAACTGATGCAGAGACACAATGGTGCTGCTTACTTGTTTGCTCCTCAAGGACTGTTCTGTTTTCTTACAGCACAAAGGACCACTAGACCAGAGGTGGTACCATTCCAAGTAACCTGGGCCCTTCCATATCAAGCATTAATCAATAAAATACCTCGACAGACTTGCCTGCAGTCTGAACTTATAGGGTATTTTCTCAACTGACTATCCCTCTTCCTAAATAACTCTAGCTAGTGTCATGTTAACAAAAACTAGGCAGCACAAAAACTCGACATATTTTGTTATTGTTTGGCTTTAACCACTTCTTGAGACTTCATAACAAAAACATATTTCTCATGTATTTTGTCTTTATTCAGACACATGAATTCTAAACTTCTCTTTTCCATTATATCATTGGGATAACAGAGATAAGTTCTCATTTCTTGTTGTGCTTAGAAGCCTCCTCCCCTGAAAGCACACATCCCCCTTGCAGAGAGCTTTCCATGTTTGACTTGAAAGTTAAGGGGAGTGCCTTCCTTGCTCAACTTCCCTGGCTCCCTTCCAGTCCTTCCTGTATCCTCACACATCCAAATCCCACTGCAGCTAGTCACCTAGGCAACACAATGACTTGCAGGATGGCACAGGTCATAGGTTCCCAGGAGGGGGAAGTGTTGCAAAGCATTAAGACTTGTTTTATCCATCTCTGAAATTTCTCTGTCCTTTCAGCCTATATAATTTTTTCTTTCTTTTAGACTCTGCTATTCTCATGTCCAACGAGACCCATTGGCTACAGTTTCCCCATTCACAACTGAAACTGCCAGCATTCAACACTCTCATCCCTGGCATTGAACCGTCTGGTGCTTCTCCACTGGTTTCCAGAGAAGCAAGATGCTCATGGAAGCCCCTTGGTAGACCACCTTTCGTGGATTCTTCCTCCACACACTAAAGCTTCGGCTACACTGAAACAGGATTCCTCCCTCTCTCATCAAGACTTTCCTTCTGCCACTTCCCTGACTCATGGTTCCCCTTCATTTCCCATGAAATCCTTCTGTATCTGATGTAACCTTCCTTTATCTCACAGACAGAGTTGGGGTTCAGTCATCTGAGCTTCCAGGGCATCTGTTACTGATCCTTACATGTTAATTAGCTGTGTTTTCATCTTTCTGTGTATCTTTTTCTTTCTTTTTGTTTTGGTTTTAGCTTACAAAAAGTTAGGTTTCATAACGACCTTTGTTAAACAAAATTTTTGGTTATTATTTCTCTTCGCTTCTTCTTCCTCATCTGTCCCCTCCCCGTACTGTCCCATCCCATGGGCTCTTCCACTTTGATGTCACATGTGACCTTTGGTGCCCCTCATTCCTTTCTCAGTACCTTTTGCTCCGCTCTTTAGGTTGCCTATCTGAGTTCATAGTCTATACCCACTCTCTCAACCTAATCCCTTATTTACATACATAGGATCAGTAATTATCCTTAGTAAACAAATGGACTTTGGGAGCCCATCCCACATAGAGGGATACACTCTCAGCCTAGACACATGGGGAAGGGCCTGGGCCATGCTCCAAATGATATGACAGACTTTGAAGTCTTCCCATGGAAAGCCTCACCCTCCCTGGGGAGCAGAAATGAGATGAGACAGGGGTTTGGGGGAACAGGGGAGGAGGAGAGAAGGGGGAGGAGAAGGAACTGGGATTGAAATGTAAAACAAGCTTGTTTCAAATTTAAATTTAAAAAAGGGGGAAAAATAAAGTTACTTTAAAAAAAAGAAAATGAAACACTAAGAGGTAAGGTCTGATTATAAGAGAGAAATGTGAGTTGATTTTCTGAGTTTGGGTCACCTCACTTAACACACTTTTCAGTTCTACCTAAGACCTTGTAAGTTTCCTGGCTTTGTCTTCATAATAGCTGAGGAAAATGCACACATATGCATATACGCGACATTTTCATTATCCACTTCCCTGAGCATGAACATCTAGGCTGAGTGGTGACATTCCATTGCCTCTGTGACTAGGACAGTAATAAACATGGTTTTGCAAATGACTCTGTGACAGGATAGATTCCCTTGGGTCGATGTCAAGTACTGGTTTTGTTGGGTCATATGATATTTCTAATTTTATCCCCCCCCTTTTTTTTGTTCTATAAATTTTTGAAGGTACTTTCTTGATTTTTGAGATTATAATTTAGTTATAATCTCATTTTTCCCTTTCTTTTCCTCCCTCCAAACCTATACATACACCCCTCCCCACTGTCCTTCAAATCCATGCTGTCTTTTTTTCATTAATTGGTTGTACATGCATTTATTTACATACATATATATTGGCACTAGACAACCAGTTGGTGTGCTCTTCGGGGCAGGCCACCTCTCTCACTTCCAGCTTTCCTCGGTTGCCTTTGTGTAGGGGCCTTGTGGTACTTTTTACATCTACTTTGGCATGTTTGTTGGTGTCATCTTTTCTCGCTCATGTTTGGGCTGTCATGTTGGAGAGACTTGATGGATGTAGCATTTGATATTACAGGAGAAACAATCTTACAGCCAAGTCCCTGATCTTCTGATTCTTATGATCTTTCCACCCCTTCTTCTGCAATTTCCCTGAGCCTTAAGTGCATGTGTCATTTGTAGATGTATCCTTTGGGACTGGGCTCCAACTCTGCATTTGGGCTGGTTGTGGTTTCCTGTAGTTTTCACACCAAGCTCTAAAATGTTTTCATTTTTATTCCCCATCCCCCCGCAGTAGATAGGGGCGTCTCATCCCTATGCCCTTGAAACCATTTGCTATTATTTATTTTCTTGATAATATTCATGTTGACTTAGGTGATAAAGAACCTCAAAGTGGTTTTAATTTATACTTTCCTGGTGAATAAGGATATTGAACATTTAAGAAATATTTATTGGACATTTGTGTTTCTTCTTTTGAGCACTATCTATTTATTTCATTTGCCTACTTATTGATTAGGTAGCTGTATATTTTTTTTATTTGTTTGTTTTTTGTCTTTAATTTTTGCCGATCTTTATATAATCTGGATATTAATGTTTTCTACATATCAAGCCCTGCCTAGGAGAGAGCTGACTGAGACTCTCCCATTCTGTGGGCTGCCTGTCTTTTCTGAAGACAGTTCCCCTTACTGTGCAGAAACTTTAATTCTATCCATTTCCATTTTTCAATTCTGGGGACTATTTTCTGTGTTGATGGAGACCTGTTCAAAAAGTGTTCAAGTCTGTTCACTATGCTTTGCTCTAGTAGTCCTAGTGTCTCAGGCTTGGAATTAATGCTTTGACCCATTTAGAGTTGACTTTTGGGCAAGGTCAGAGATTTCTTTATTGTTGTTGTTCTTGTTGTCTTTCAAGACGGGGTTTTTCTGTAGATTTGGAATCTGTCTTGGAGCTCACTCTGTAGACCAGGCTGGCCTCAAACTCACAGAGATCTACCTGCCTCTGTTTTCTGAGTATTGGGATTAAAGGTGTATATTATCACCTTTAATCAGCAGGGTCTATCATTAAATTCATTTTAGATTCAGGGTCAACACAATGTAGATAAATGACCAAAGCTAACTACATCCTTATGTTCCTCCAAGAAAGCCCTACCAGTGCTGGTTTAGCATATTGTGATTCTCAATGTAGTTCATGATACTGTTTTGAGGAAAGTAACTGATTTCAAAAACTAAAAATCAGAGGTAGTACAACATAGGTAACTTCCCTATGACAGTGTTGGCTATACTCTCATGTTGCCTTATTATTATTATTTTTTTTAGCAGATTGCATTAAAAAGCATATAGAAATGACACTGGAATTACTGCAAAAAAAAAATGAAGAAATTTCACATGATTGTCATGGGAAACAAAATGGAATAAAATACACAGTTTTTAACAGCCATAATAAATACAGCAAATGGCAAAGAGACAATTTAATGATTTTTAAAACTCATCAGGAGAACACAATCTATGAATTGCCCTAGTCAAATAGTTTGTATGCTTAGTAAATCTTCCCTTCTCATGCTTGTATAGGTCTAAAAGTTATTGATTTTCTAGTTTCCATTACAGAATGGCTATAATATTGGGTACTCTTTTCAATATCTTAGATTATATGATGTTGCTTTAATTTTTAGGTTCCATTAACTTTCTTGGAGCATCTATTTTTTAAAATTCCTTTTGGGTTTGCCAATTACAAAGTAAAGAGAACCTGGGGCTTTATGCTTTCTCAGTTTTCTTTTGTACCTTCCTATGTAAGTTTCCTTTGAGCTCTGCTTCTCTAGTCTTCAAACCTGGAAAAGAAACACCATCTTTTTCCTTAGTGATGTTAATTATATACGATGAATCTCAAAATTTCCAGGAAGTCAAATATGAACAATGTAAGCTCTCAGCCAGAAAAACCTTTCACCCAAAAGGAAAAATGGAGACTGTGAGATTTCCATTCTGGAAAGAAATAGAGTTAAAATAAGGTTGCCGAGTTTTCCCAGAAAAACTATAACAGGGAACATTTATGATATATCATTTTATCGATACCTGTGGCTGTAATCTTCAAGGCCCCATTCCAGACCAGGATGTGGTGGCGGGGATGGCGGTACTTCACTCTCGGCCCACCCATCATTGGGAAGCAATAGGTCTATAAACAAGGAGCAAATAAAGCTGTAGTAAACCAGAGGGAGAAGGATTCAGTGCCTACTTTTGTTTCAGTCCATCTCTCAGACACATAAACCAACTTTGAAATCAATAAAGCTTCACCTGGAATGGAAGGTCTCACATGAATGCTCCCTGGCTGAGATGACCTGTGCCTCCTAGAGTGTCTGTGTGTGTGACCCACTCACTGGCCATTATGACAAATAAGTCTACACATCTCAACGACCTTTTGTTACCTATGAAGGCTTGTGCTTAACAATATCCCTGACTTGTAGGAGACTCACTAAACCTGTCTTTTATACCTTAATATTTTTATAATTATGGCTTTGTAATGAATACTCTGAATTTATAATTCAAGCATTTACCTGAGTAAGAAAAAGTACTGAAGGAAATGCCTTGAGACCCTGTGTATTCCTCATTGTTTAGACACAGCAGAGGGAAAACATCCACTATTTCTATCCCTGCCATAAAATCTTGTAAACAAAAGACTAGAGTCTGGATTTGGAATTTCCTACTGGATAAAGCATGACATTCTTCTACAGGCTATTTAGTAGTGGGAAAGTAACATGCACCCTGATCATCACTATTATCAGTAAGAAATGAATTCTGATGAGACACTGTGGGTCAGATATTGTGTTAATCACATTATTCATGCTAAACATTCTTTCCTTTACTACAACAAGAAAATTAACCTATGGATAGATGAGAATAAATGCAGATTATATCCTTTCCCAAATTTCTCCCAAAAGTCTATTGACAAGTTGTTAGAATGAGCCACTGTCTTGACCTTCATCACTGTAAAACATTCTTCCTCTGTCAAGCTGCCATGGTCTATGTCTGTCTTTACCCATTAGCATTTAGGTTTGTGCATTAGTAGCATAAACTATGTCATGTATCATATCTATCACATTCTATTTTTGTGAAGACAGTTATCTTTTGAGTTATCAAGCTGTAATCTATTAATCAACATTTTTCTAACTAGACTGAAGGTAACTTTTTCCTTGTCTTCTATTTTGTCTCTTCTAAAGCCTCTTTTTGGTTTTCTTATTTATTTATTTATTTTTTTAGAGTCATATTGCAGCCATCACTTTAACTTTTATGGTATCCCTTGGGCCTAGCTGTTTTTCTTAGTGTGCTGATAAGAACAGAGGCAAATATCATGTCAGTTGACTCTGTATACAATTTGCTCAGATCCTATATGGACTTTTCTTCTCTTGACATTGACACCTTTGTTAAGCTTTGTATCTTTGTATCAGGAATGGAAGTGTAGAATTCTAATCTCATACAAATAACACTTCTGAATTTAATTGACTGTATGAAAATACTAACACACACACACATACACACACCATACACACACACACACACACACACACACACACACACACACACACCTGTGAACAATGATAGTGTGTCTTCTAGTCACTAAGTTATTGTTGGCTAAATGGACCTCTGTAATTACCATATTGTTTTTTGTTTTGTAGAGTCCATCTAATCAAGAAATATCTGAGAGATGGGAAATCATGGCTTTAAACTAAGGTAATAAAGCTATGGCCTTGTTCTGAGATTAGCACCATATTTGGCTTTTAGATAAAACTTTGTTGAAAATAGCCACACTCCTTATTTGCACACTTGCTGTAGTTGTTTCTGCACTACAATAGCCAAGTTCAGTTCAGAGAGCTTATAACCCCACCTTAGACTCTTCTTGAGGGTAATAATAGTGTTGCAGCATTGTACACATGTCTGCTTTCTGATGGTATTTGACAATATAAAGGTATTCAATCAACACTAGTCAATTTGAGAAGGAGAATTCAATTTCCGATCAAATTTGCAGAGTGCCTCCTGCTATAGAGTGATGGATGCACTTGGCTCCTATAAACATAAACATTAGGGGAGGGCTGTTATTTCTTCAAAATCCTCCAGGGAATATGGCTATAGTAGGACAGGGCACAAAGTGAGAATGTCTGATATGAGATAGGAGGAAAGACCTAACTCAGTGGATGACTGGAAGGATTTGGGCAGCGGGTCACCTGAGCTGTCACCTGAGGCAAAAAGTGGAAACAGTGGAAGCAGAGGTAAGGAGACGGCTGTTTACAACTAAAGGCAGGTTGTGCTGAGGCTCCAACCATCAGCATGAAGCACAATGTTGGTATAACCTCATGACTATTCCGATGCCTATCCAGCTTACCGAAAGCCCTGGGGACCCAGCCTCCATCCCACTGCTATCCTGGAGCACCACACTTCCTCCACAGGAGGCCCAGCTAACAATTTCCTAACACAAATATGAATTTTCTGGTGTGCCAATTTTACAAATGTTATTCTAAAAATCCCCTTTCTGTGTAACAGCTTGAAAAGAATAAAAAATAAAATACTGAGCAAACTGTGGGTAATATGTACTATTACCACAAAATTAGATGGAACACGGTGTATCAACACTGGAGTCTAAACATCCAAAGAAAAGGGAAGGAGGGAAGTTTTTGCTTTGGCTGTCCCAGCTTCTCTTCTCACTAGACATTGCATTTTGTCAACTTAACCATGTTCTGCTAAAAGAGACCCTTTTAAGTCAGTTGTGGTAAGACCACTATCATAGTCTCTGTAGCATGTAGCACCTTTTCTGGCTCTGAAATTCAAGGTATCTTGGAATTTCTCAAAGTGTAAAATGTTCAGACTTGAAGAGAGGCAATGGACATGGTGAGAGCAGCATGATGCTATTGTAACTCTAGAATGTTCATAAAATCTCTAAGTCAGTTGGCTTGCAGGAATAGTAAGCTTATCACCCAACCTCTAACTGAAAATGTAATGAGTTCCTGCTATGAGAAGTTAAATTTGGGCAACCTGGTAATGTAGTATAGACACACGGGGATCTAATAATAGATAGACTTTATTTTTTTTTTCAAGCCAATAATGGTTAGTTGCTTAAGAGGCTTATAGCAAGGATGAAGCCTATCCTCCGTTACTATCTTAGAACACCACACTGCTCCATTGTGGGCATTACCAGAAATTCTCAAGCTCATATGGGAAAGGTCTTGAAGGGAGCTTAGTTTTTACACTAACTTAGGAAGTCAGGGTTGGAAATGAAGCAAGTACTTGGCAGGTCACTGATGAGTGGGTCTTGGTTTGTGTGTTTGTTTGATGTTGCTGTTGTTTTCTTTTTATCAGTATGCAAGTTGTTCTGTCAACATTTATGTTTTAGAAGGGAGAGAAATAAAAAAATCTTCCCAGAGATTACCTGTGGTTGCTGTCATCAAAGGGCTCACTTTTTTTTTTTCAATGCAGATATAAAGCATAAAGAGTTCTAAGGATGCTCTGTGTTCTGCAGAGAAATTCTCTTCCTTCCCTGCTTTGTGGATAGTGGAATTGAAAGTGTCAAGATCTGTGTCAAGAATACATAATTTACTTAAGGTAAGCCAGCACATACTAAGTAATTCTTTTTATTTGGTGACAAGGTAAAGTCAGCATTTCACAGGCCTCTTAGGATCAGATAGAAAGATTTCAGTGGTTCCAGGGGAAGAATACTAGGCAAGGCCTTTGCTGTGCTTGAGATGAACCAAAGCCAGGGACAGAAATTGAATCTAGGCTCTGGGGGTACCAAATATGCACAGTCTTAGGTAAATTATTTATTCTCACAGACTTTCTATATTTTCACCTGTGAAATGAGGCTAATAATATGACCCACTTTGAATTTGAATGTACATTGCTTAACAGCATAGCTAACAAACTGCAAATACTTAAAATAGAAAACTTTCAGAGGAACCCCTACCCCCAATATCTCACGCAGATGAAATGTTATAGTGTTCAAGCAATCTCACATTTACAAGTCCATTCTGATACAATAACATCATAGTTTGGGATTTGTTCCTGTGTCATTATAGTTCGGTAACATTTTAGGCATCGAAAAACACAGGATTGATAGTATAATGTTTATTATATCCACTGAGTAGAAGACATTGCCACCACTGCACATGAGGCTGTAGACTTCAATAATACATAAGATGCTCTTCATGTAATATCAATTGAAGAAAAAAATTCTTAGAAATTACCTACAGTAGATTTCATTTTACTTTCAATTTATGTATACATATTTGCATGAGGAGAAGACTTGAAAGATCTACATAAAATGTTATTGATTAGGAGCTATGATAGATAGAGGGATGAGTAATATTAAATTTTCTTTTTAATGCTTTCCTCTAAAATTTCTACAATGAATATGTATGTATTGCTTTTGCAATATAAAAGTGAAAGCTATTAAAGAAAGGAGAAAGAGGGAGATAAAACAAGTTTCTGGGTGACCTGGAGCATAAGCTCGAAAGAACAATGAAGAAAATCCAACAGCCTACTTGAAATGTGATCCATTCCAGTAATAAGAGAGTGTGTCATCAGACAACAAGAACAGTCCAGCTGCCACGTTGATGGCCCCAAGCTATGCTATTCCACTATTTATCACATTCATCTTGGGATCAGGCACAAAAACCTGAGTTGCATCATGACCACATTGTGGCTTCATGTAAACCCAGGAGAATTTAAAGGGACTTGATAACTTTCAATGATTAAAAAGATCTTCAAAAAACTCACAGTTTGCCATCTTTGATTCTCTAGTCATGGTTTGTTTTATACAAAACCTTCATGTTTGGGGCAGCAAGCACAGAAACTGTCACTTAAACGGGAACCCTTGCCAGGAATCTGATTCACAAGTTCTGAGTCAATGCTCTCACCCAGTCCTCAGTTCTCATGACTCTGAGTGACAAAGTCTGCACTTTGCCTAATTAACTTTTCTTTGTCCCTGATACCTTCTCCACCTTCTCAGTGAAAAGCCACTTTTGTGGTTTGGTGCTCTATTCGAAGAGGATGAAAATGGAGAGTCTTTACCTTTCCTTTTATCTTGTGGACTGCAAGTGCCAAGTGGATATGATACACTAAAACCATTTCTCCTGGAGGGGCTCAGAGCTTCTTGACAGTTTTCAAAACATGGCCTGGAAAGTGCGCCAGATTCTGCAAGCTCCTATGGGACAGAAACAAAAATTACATTTTAAAAATGCATCCCAACTTGAACAATTGAAGCAGAGTGTAAGAATGGCCCTTGTCTGAATCCTCTTTCAAGTCTCAAGCATGTGTATCTACAACTGTGAAAAAAAATCAAAATGGCCTTGTCCATTCAAAATCTTTCAATATGAAATAAACAGCACGGACAATGTAGTGTTAAGGATTATGAGTGCTGATAGCCAACACAAGAGAGGATTCACTTTATTATTCTGTCCCCCCACTTACAACGCCTTCTTTCAAATTTTCCTCCATCTGGGAGTACAGCTTGTGGCAGTGTCAATAAGAGAATACAGTTCATGCCAAGGGTGTTTCTCTGCCAACCAGCTGGTTCGTCTCCCTCTGCCACTCTTTCTCCCCAGATAAGTGCATATGCTCTAGGACAAGTCAGAACCCAAGCAGTTTTTGTCACCGGAATGCCATGACTGCATCTCATTGCAGACCCCAGGCTTTGGCCAGATGCTAAGGTAAATAGCTGTGACAGGGCCAGGCAGTGGCTCTCCCCAGAGTCTCCCCTCCCCCTCTTCTGCATTTCTCTGCTCTGTTTGGATTCTGGCAGTCTGTAAACAAATTCACGGGTTTCTACAAACTGCTGCATCCAGAATAACACCCCACAGACCATCTTCCCCAGGTGTTGAAGAGGTAACAGGAGACAGCCCACAGCAGAGAACTCAGGCTTTCAAGCTGATTGTGCTGGTGTAGTGAGCTCTCTCTTGCTCTTGTGCCTGTTATTTGTCTCCCTAGCAGATTTCAGGGAAATGAATGATTTGGAAGTCATTCCATAGCTCTTCTCTTGGCCATTTGTGAGAGGCACGTGTCGCAAACACAGAGCTACACCCCAAGCTCCTGTCTCCAGGAAAGCATTTGGCCAAAACAATGCAGTTGATTTTACTTTTTCCTCTTTAGTTACAAAAAAAAAAAAAATCAGTATCTTGCTAAACGAAATAGTTGAAGCATTCACTTCTATTCTGTATCCTTAATAATTAAAATTTTCAGCTGCAGAGGGCTATTAGCTACTTGTGAAGGCTTCTAACAGTTCTCCCACACTTAAACATATTATCCTGGCTGCCTTAGTGCTAGTCCAACCAAAGCAGGTACAAAAGACCGGCTAGTCTAGCTTAAAGCTGGAGCCCCAGCGGGCAGGTAGAAGTAGGACTTGCCTTGCATTGCCTTGTGTTCTCACTTCACAATAACAACAAGAACAAAAACATTTTTTTTCTGCTTTCCTAGCTCTTTGATAAATGACACAATCAATATCCCAACAACTGATCAGTAACCAGCCTAATTAAAGCATCCAGCCTGTAAAATAGAGCTGTCGTGAAGGCCTCCATTAGTGTCCCAGCCAATAAAAAATATAATGGATTTTTAAACATTTTCTGCCTCTCTGAAGATGAGCTGCAGCAGGGAAGAAAATGTTTAAGGAAAGAGAAAAACAAAACCAGGTCATAACCCATTTTTAAATACCAAGTCTCTAGGCGCAGACAGAATCACAATTCATCCTGAAGCTTATCCTTTGAAAAACATGCTTCTGTTCAAAATGATTCTGATTCAATCAAGGGCTCATTATGTATTCTTCTTGAGCTTCTCATCAAAACTGTTTACCTATCTTGTACAACTGGCTAATGTGGGGAAAAAAATAACAACTTTATATTTTGACTTTTCTTAAGTAGCATCTTCATTTCTTTTCAATATCCGTATAATGTTCCAGCAATTACGTTGGCATTCTTGCCAAATCTAACTAATTGATTTGCCCTGATGTCTGAGCAGTGCTTAGACCTCCTCTGGGTTATGGATGCTTTTCTATGGACCGGAGGGCACTAGCTGCTCTGTGGGAGAATGGACCAAAAGCCAGTGTGCTCAATATACACTGTGCACAGCATATGCGTAACATGATGAGGCAGATTCAGGAGATCACATAGCTGATTTTTTTAATTTAATAAAGATAAGCTGTACATTAGGCTTCTGTCTTTATATGGAATAAGACTCTTTAATCTTCATGACTACACCAAAGATTCTCTATAGCTGAGAGTCAAGCTGCTCATTCCCCATGGAAAGCATGTAAATATTAGGGAAAGAAAATGGATCTGTGTTTAAATGTCCTCATAAAAATTGCTTTTGTAACAGTTCCTATTCCTGATCGATTCCCTGGTGAACTATATTAAAAAGACACATCTGAGGATGGGTAATGAACTGAAAGTTAATACTTTCTTCTGATGGGATAATGCCAATCCCATTCCACTCTAGACGATGGAAATAAAGATGGAGATACCTCACTAGAGACAAATACTGATGGCAAAGTACCACAATTCCATGGACCAGGGTATCACACCCACCCACTGCCATCCACATGCATTTTAGAGTGAGACATGGAATGAGGAAAGAGAAAAGGTAAATATACTCCTAAATCTATTAGAGCCATACTCACTCCTCCCCCCCCCCCTCTAGTTTTTGGCCTCTGTATGCATATGGCATTCTAGTGGCATTTTCCATTCTTTTCTTAGTTGTTAAAGGAAATATTTTTAAAAAGCTAGAGTATTCAGATATATAAGAAAGGATGACTGAGATCTCTTTTATGCTGTCCTTCATATCACTCTCTAGTGAGTGAGTTCCTTGCATCCCAGAACTCTATAGGAAGGAACAAATTACAGCAGACAGGACCCTTTCTCATGTTAGGAAGTAGTAGATGAGGACATTCAAACTATGCTTGTAAGTGAAGCCATTAAATATTCATGAAGGCTCTGTCACTTAAGCAGACGCACATGTGGAAAACAAGCTCATTCATTATATATAGTCTCCAGTAATTGGCCAATTTACATTTATTTAACATCTACAAGGTTACGTACAAAAGAGCATAAAAGGTACAGTTACTGTTCCCCAATAGTTGGTAATATAGCCAAGGAAGAGATGGTCTATCATCTCACTGCTCCAGAGCACTCTGCCAGGTGAAGTGGGTTTCAGATGCAGCTTTTCCATTCATTCAGCAACATTTATTGGGAGCCAGTCACATTTGGAGAAATGAAGCTCCAACAGTGGACAAAGCGGGCATCAGAACCCTTCTACACATCAAGCACTCACAATAGCTGTGTGTTTTCATGACCCAGATATAGCAAATTGAGGACTTACCTCAAGTATTTACATATAACACAAGGCACCCCAATGACATATATTTCATTATGATGATCTTTTGTTTTTAAATTTTTGTTGAATTTACTACTAAAACAAATGTTTGATATTAGTTTTCCAAGTAATATATACTTTTACTCTACATACATTTGTAGTACACAGACATATTTTGGCCTTAAGTATTGTCCTAAGGTGATAATATATGATGTGCTGGTATCTGTTAATTTTTATGAACTTACTTATTTTTTCCTGAAATAATTGTTAGGGACATTTAATACTTAATTCTTTAAATATTGTTTTAAGAATAATTTTATTCATAATTTTGTGTAAATGAAATGTTTTGGTATGTCAGCACCTAATAATTGTTTATACTATATTATTTTACATCTAAGGTTCATGTGTAAGTGGACACTTTCCTGACATTTAAAAATCATGATCAAATATTTAAAAAGAAATAAGACTTCCATTTATTTAATAAAATAAAATAAAATGCTCAATGGATAAACTTTAACTTAGTTATACCTTAGGTTTATATTATCTGTATAGATTATAAGGGGAGAATATAGAGATTTGATTACATCATAATAATCTACAAATTAAACACTGTATATATCCATCCAATCAGGAACTTTCTAAGGTATGGGCATTGCTAGCATACCACCAAAAGTTGTATTAAGAAAGATGACTTTTTAATAAGTCCAGAACCCTAGAAATTTCTGAACATAGCCCTAGTAAACACAGACCTGTAATATTTGATAAATGATTTACTTTATATACATACTTTCATGTTTTTTTATTGTTTCTTTCCTATATCCATTACAGCCTATGTGGGGTATATTTCCCCAAGTTCAGACTTAATAAATGTCAATCTACCACATGAATGATGGAGTCTGTATATTCTGATGGCCATATATATTTTTCAGGAAAGTCAAGAAAGACATCACCTCCAGCGGTCTCTCTGGCCTCCTCAGTATCACTAACTGGATCATGCCCCGTATGTTTCCTTCCATGGACATCGATCTCCTCAGTGTTTCCATGGCTTCATGGTTGGACTTGCCCAGAAGAGTTTCCCCATTAACAGCAATCAGTTGGTCATTCATTCTCAGGCGGCCATCCTGAGGCAGAATGGAGAAAACATTGTGAGACAAGAAAGCATGGTGATGACAGGTAGCTGTTTGGAGAATAAGTTCAAGTATGAAGATGAGAAAATCAGAAATGTGAACCTTAATTCTTAGGAATGATCTCTTTTCAACAGCAGGAAGAGGTTCTGGAGATTGTCAAGCAGTCACAAATACTACCAATTGTGATCTGTATGAAAGGAGTTATTTTTAGGAATCTTAGAGTCCCGGGCTATGATTTAGACCTTTCTGATGTTTCTTATCTAAATCTCTGTCTGGCAAGCATATGAATCTAGCACGTTCCTGCTATTTGCTTTGGCAAAGACCCCATTGGGACTCAAGGAATAGGGGTTATGAAACAAAGGCAGAGTATCTATCTCATACAAGCAGGGTTTGCATTTTTAGGTACGGCGAGACTTGCTTAAAAGCTGCATGCTTGACAACACATCTCTCCTAGAAATCATTACTAGCCCTATTGACTGGAGAGAACAGATTCCTCATATAATTTTCTCTAACACAAGCATAAACTTACTCATTAACCAGTTTGCAGAAGAACACAGGTGTGTTTAGCAAAGGACCAATTTACCTCTAGCAGGAAAGCTTGACAAAAGGAATTGTCAGGTTTTTTTCCTGAGATGGTCAGGCTAATGAACACTTTCACCCAGCATCTCCTAGAAGAGACACCATTTACACCAAGCACCAGAAACCCAATGTGTGGAGAGTCAGCCTGACTATTCTTTCCACCATTCAAGGCAATTCATTCAGAAATCATCTTCAGCCAGAAGCCTTATGTCAGTGATGTCTCCAGCAGTGGCAGATAAACTGAGAATGCAGCATTTCAGGGAGACAACTTGGGCAGACCACAGCTCATCCCCTCCCTAGAAATACTCAGTGTTTATAATCTGGTGACTGGAAACTGTCCTATGCTGCTGGACACTCAAAAAGCCACAAGGTTCATATACAATCAGGAATCTTGTCCTGCAGCTGACGTTAATATATTTAACAGAAATAGGAGTAGTACTTTACTTTTCCAGACACTTCTTCCATTAACTTCCCCCTGTGACACTCACAGACACAAGTAAAGAAGATTTGTATTTTTTATAAAATTTTCCACAAAAATAATCAGAATCAGGGAATTATAATGATAACGTGCCTACAGTCTCTATAGCATGTCAGATGAGAGTCACTCAAGCTTAGCTTTTATGAACTTTGACCCTTCAGCCCCTCTCCTCCTTGTAATCCACCCTTGTAATCTAGCTTCTCTCTGCTATAGATGTGCAGTGCTTAAAGAATTCTTGCAGTAAGAGGTATCTAGGATGGCAATTCAAATGATCAGAATGTAATGCAAAGACAAAGAGGAAGAAAAAAAAAAACTTCCTGAGAAATGATCAAAGCAGAAGCACAGTGAAGACTAGAGGGCAGTCATTGAACCCTAGAAAGAAAACCCAAGGGCTAGTTGATAGGTTTAGACTAATACAAGGGCAGATGGCCAGAGGAATTGTTCTCTGAGGAAAAGCAAAGGATAAGGAGTGACAGATGTTGGTTTAGAGAGCATTTAGAGATGTCCTACACATCACCTGGTGGATGGAGCCTGGCAACATGGTATTGCAGAGGCCACACAAAGGAGTACGTGATCACTTGAGAAGAACATTGAAATGGCAAGGCAATGGGATCAATAGGGAGTGTGTAAGATCACATACAAACTGTTCCCAGGCCTTTCTCATGGGAACTTAATGTTTCCTCCCTCTGGCTTTGGAACTTCACTTAACCTTTATACTAATTTACCAAGAAAGAAATCTCCTCTCTTCTGCTGTCCAGTTGTGAATTAGGCACACACAGAATAGGATTAAGCCTCTGTGAAATGGTGAGATGGGTAAAATAACACAGCCTTAATGGTTTAGTCCCATGAAATGAAGCACAGCTGGATCTGTTCCAATTTGTCATATGATGGGAGGAGGGCCACTGGGCTGAATCTTGTCACTAAAATTCTCCTAATGTGACAGGAAGCTGATGTGCAGATTTTAAAGACGAAGAGGAAGGAGTAGATATGGACACTGGCACTGTTATCAGGAAATGAGCTAGTGTTAAGAGCTGTAGTGCTCTGTGAACTGGGAGGACACCTCATCTGCTAAGACAGGAAGAGGAACAATAAAAACGGAAGGAATCTGAGAAAGATTTTAATGAGAGGGAAGATGTGAGGAGAAAACAACTGTATCTAAAAGCTTATACCAACAGCTATTAACATAAACTTATTTCCAGTTGCATTCTAGGTTTCAGCCACCTAGAATACATTCAAGTAGGATGTTTACTATAGTCGAGTCCAAAACAAAAGGACTCACCCCAGGGATTCTAGAATTTTTTTTTTTCCTGAGACATTCACATTTATCACATGTGTCACTAGAGAGTTGTGGCCACAATAAAAATCTACACACTCTTGTTTGCCAGAGTGGCTATCCTCTTGCTATTGGTGTGTGCTTCTTGCTCATAAGATAAATGATGGGTAATTTCATTAATGATAATGCCAGGAAGACCACACTGTCTTAACATTTAGAATGCCATCACAGAGCTTCAAGCTTAGAAAGGTTCTCAGAGGTCATCTGGTCCAACCTCTTCCATTTACAGATGAATAATACAATGCTCTAAGAAGACGAGGCATCGTTTATCTAACACCTATTAAGACAAGGCACTTCCATATATATTACAACTGACTCAGCTGGTGAAGGTCAAAGTTGGAAAAGAAAAGAACAGTTCAAGTCTTGAATTCACTAGGATTTCCTAGCTATGTGAAGATGAGGTATTGCTTCATGAAAAGACTTTCAAAACCAGTGAAGATAATATACCACAGGTCTGCTGGAAGAGAGCAGTATTTAAAATTTAGGCACATATCCAGAATGCATTGACACAAGAAAGGAGATGCCCAAGTATGGGATTAAAGTGGAGGAAAATGACAAATCTGCCTTCTAATCACATGTCTCTTACTAGACAACATCTAAAATGAAGTATCTTGAACAAAGAACTTGCTACTCAAACTCAAACATATCCCTGAAAATCATTTATATCTTTTTACTTTGAAATAATTTTCACCAAGGAAATTCGTTTTCTTTGACATTTTTTTTCTACTAATATTGTTTGGATAGATATTTGGGCATGAGTGTGAAAACCTTCAACTTTAAGTAAGTGAACACAAATATCAAAGGATGCTACTTAGTAATTTAAACATACACATTTTGTCACAATTTGGACCATGATTATGCTTTTCAAAAGTAATAAATGTTGAGTTTGCAACATGGCTCAGAGGGTAAAGGCACATGCCATGAAAACCTGATGACATGAGTTTGGTTCCTGAAACCCACATAAAGTGGAAGAAGAGAACTAACTCCACAAAGTTATTCTCTGGCCCCTACATGTGTGTCATGGCCTGTGTGCTACATATACAGGCATCATACACACATGTGCTCACAGTAATGATAATATGATAATTAATAAATATATATTTAAATACAAAGGAAACCTTTCTTTCTATCATATTATCATCAGAACTCTAAGCAAAAAGAGCCAGCCCTTACCTTTGGTACCCACAACAATGTAGAAGGGGGGTATGAAAGTAAAACCAGTGACTTCCTCAGGGTACTTTTGTGGTATGAAAAACTCACATGAGGTGTAAGTCTTTCTCTTGCCTGTACTGGGATGGCTTAGAAAGTCATCAGCCCTAACCACTTATCACAAAAGGAGGCATCAAGGGCTCGGGGACCAGATCCATGAGTATTATATCCCCTTTCTGTAGAATATCTGTAGAAGTATTTTGTGTGACTTAGTCTAATCATTTCTTCCAAAGACCTTGTGATACAAGTATTACTTCCTACTATATAATGATGTAAAGACAGAGAATATGATACATTAACTGATTTCAGAAGAGTCTTATATGGCCAGCTCTTCTTATCTCCCCTCATAGCTTGTAGAATAGGCTGATCTCACTATGGGACTCAGTATGAAACCCAGGCTGGCCTCAAACTCACAGCAACCTTGCCTTGAACCTCTAGTGATAAGGATAGGTATGAGCTCCTATTGTGTTATTTTGATTCCAGAGTCACTTTCTATAAATTATTAAGGGTACTAAAATATTGATAAAATACCTAATAAGTTTCATTATGCTTAAACTCTCGAGATAATTGAAATCTTATGGTAACACTATTTTTTAAAAGAAATTGAGGCTGAGGGGTTGGGTAAACCTCTAGTTATGTTCTAGTCATGCTCTGTGAGTAGATCTGAACCAGATCTGGGTCACTCTGGAATCTTGTTTTCAGCCCCTTTGATAATAATCCTTAAGCTTTTTGGATTCTTGAATCTCTACAAGAACCTAATAAAAGTTAAGGAATCCTAGTCTGTTCTAAGCAATATTTACACCAGGGTTTCTCCACAATTGCATATTTGGACCAGATAATTCTTTGCAATAAGAGGCTGTCAAATGTGGTACAGGATATTTCACATGCTTCCTGCAAAACTTTGATGATGTCCAGTGGATCTGGTGACCTACTAGTTCAGCTCCTGTGCTCAGCTTTTGAGGACTTACTCTGTTCTGAGCTGGTAATGTCACAGCTCCATGTACTTCCATTAGACAGTTTTATAAAGCCCCTCCATGTAAAACTGTAAGGGTGCCAAGGAGAGGCTAAGAAAGTCTAGATAAAGAGCAGGACTCTGCAGAATCTGAGAGGCACATGGGAGCTGGCTTTCCTGGGAAGAGTTGGCTGTGGCCCAAGGCCAATCCACATTAGTCCAGGGTGTTGAGAGGATTAATCATGGCCAGATGTTGGCTCCTGCCTCTGCATGTTTCTAACAGGACCCTTGGTAAGGCCTCTTGGTATATTATCAACACCCAGGTCCCAAGCCCCAAAGTTAGACTTCACAGCATATATTCCCTATACATTCCCTGGAGCAGAGGACACTCCAAGCAAGGTGGCACCTGATTATCGAGACAATTTTCCCAAATGAATTCTTTT